AATATCGAGATATTCCATTTCAAAGTTGAAGCGTTTAAAATATATATATACATATATACATATTCATGTATACACACACACATACACACACATATATATATATATATATATATATATACATAAAATTCCTATCTAAAGCTTATTTGAAAGTGGTCTTTTTATTCATTGTAAAAAAGTTTTTCTTAACAATTTTTTGAAACAATGAGACATAAAACGTGGAATAATGAAATTTGAATATGGCTTCCGATATTCGTTTTTGAAAAATCATTGAGTAAAGTAAGTAGCAAAGTAAGTAAAGTCGCTATTTTTTCAATCGGCAACAATAGCGAAGGCATTTTATATCATAAAAAAATTTGTATAAACACATTAACATTTATGAAATATCTTGTGCTACATAAAAATGAAATAAATTTTCATAAAAATTTTCATAATAATGAGCACTAATGTGCTCATTAGATTGAGAACGCAGTCGGAGAACGTCCTTAAATTTAATGTAATGTCATGAAATTAGATTCGAATTGTGTAACTTAAAAAAAAGAAAGACCAAATGTTATCATTCCACCTTTGGTTTTAGACGGAATAGATGAATTCTCGTGAAAAGAAATGACTAGTCAGAATTCACTGATAAAAAGATCTTTATTTTGAACGTTCAGCGTGCGCTCTAGCCGTTACACTCTGCCGCCATGTCTATATTAAATTTCATAAATTTTCATGAAAAATACATTAAGGACATATTTTCTCCGAAAAAATTCATTTTCTTTAGATTTTTCTCAAACTTACAGAATAAACTTGTTTTAATGTCCTAAACGCTTAAAAGTATATTAAATTTCATGAAATTTTTAATAAAGTGTATCATGTGCTGATATCTTTATAATTGCTCCCACTATATTTTCCTCTAAGTATGTGTCAAGAAATGAAGGATATAGTTCTTTCCACTCACGACAAGACCAATTTGCATTAAGCCGTGCCAGTCGTGGCTGAGAGGGAAAATAATTAATAACTCCTGGAAAGTATACGATAAGCAAACAACCCCAACGGAAAAATATGCTTTACATCAACGCATGCACGCACGCATGTACTCACGCACGATTTTTACGCGTCGCGCTAGACATACGTACATTTCTTTCAGTGCTATCTTTTTTTTTTTACTCTCCTTTTCTTCCTCTTTTTTTTCCGATTTGCATTAAATAGCGCACGCACCCGTATGCCCGCGCACTAATTTATCGCTGAGATATGTTTTACATCGCTTTCATGCTTCGTGCTATCACACCTCGGAAGAGTCACTCGTACGCTGATGAAATGATAAAGCACTCCCGGCAGAGAAGGTGCCGCGGTGTCGGGTTGGATCGCGACGCAAAATTCAATTTTATTCGCGATACCATCGCGAAAGTACTCTCTTCTGTTCCTTCCATTCCACATTCATATTTTAGGTATTATTTAAAGTTCATTAGATCAAACACCTCCCTCCCCCCCTCTCTCTCTCTCTCTCTCTCTTTCTCTGTTTCTCTCTCTCTTTTCTTCCTCGATAAGACGAGGTCTGTAATTTTATCTAAAATATCGGTTTAAATAAACGATTTAAACCATTTCGGAGATTACTTAAAATATTATTATAGAAGTCTGGTCTTTTTAGATTTTCATTTTGTTTTAGATTTCCCGAAATATGAATATCTGTGCTTCTTAGAATTCTTGAATGTTTGACACAGTTGAATGTTTCAATTACGCGAGTAGTCCGATTAAATCAGACTCCCCGATAAGTTTGACTCGCGAAGATGACTTTGATTCACCCGATATTGATAAAATAAATTTCGCGTGGATTTCAGACAGAGTCTAAAAAGAGTTAGATAAATCAATCTCTCTCAATCTCTCTCGTCGCCTTCACTTTTGTTTTTCCATTTTAGTACGATTTATTTCGTGATGACCTTACATTCGTAATTAATTAATTCGACGTCATTTCCCGACGTAAATAAAAGTTCCGCCGTAGTTTTACGCGCAGTAATTGATAACAGCGAGCACATCGAAAGGTCGAACGGCCGCGAATAAAAAACTAATTGCGGAGGCGTATATAGCGAAAATAGCGAGTGCTTATCAAGAACGATCGCATGAATGCTTAAAAGTTCCATTTTTACACCTCGATAAAATTAAAAGCGTCTCTACCTTAAAGCGGAAAGCAGCTTAAAACGTTAAAATCGGTTATGTACAAGCAAAACATTTTATTCATTCATGGCATACCATTTCTACCAAAACGGCGAAGCATAAATAAAATTTTAATACATGTTACATTTGTGCTAGCAGAATCTTAATGAGTCGACAGAATTTTTTATCGAGAAATAACATGATCTATTTATTTTTTCTGGTGATATTTTCGTCGAAATCTATTTTTGCAAAGACCTAGAAATTTTTTTATAGTCGCTTCTAAAATGCAACAATGATAACATATAAGGATACAAGTCGCAGAATTTAAAGATATTCCTTAAGAGATATTCCTCTTTACAGAATAGAATCAAATTAGCTATCATGCATAAGAAAAGATTTTATAGTTTCTCTTAACCTCAGACATTTATTCATGTCTTATAATTAAATGGTTAACTAAAATCTATTAGCTAAATATGTTATTATTATTTAAATGTAAATCTTTATACTGTTAAATTAAATCGATGTCAAATTATCATATCCAATTTGAGTTATTTTTTATCATTTCTATATGTCATTAATTTATAATAATTAAAACAATCGAAAATTTAAAAAATTTAACTCAAGAAAGTGTATTAAATTTGACCTAAATTTAGTTTATCATTATTTAATAAGCATACATATTAATATGAATGTTGTTTATTTTGAAACTAATCACAGAAATAAATTGATGGTTTAAATTTTGACATATATGGAAGTTAAAAATAATAAAATGTTATTTAATTCAAGGATTAGATTACCTTTGATGTTTAACAGTGTAAGATTTCTCTATATACACAAATAGTAATTCCCAATTCGCTCTAATTTCAAAAATGTGCTTCCGGATATCTTTTTCTCTTTTTTAAACACCCCGTACATCCCAGTTTCCTCGGTTTCTCAACGGTGGATCTCTAACACGGATGAACGTCAGGAAAGTAACCGGAAGTGGCTCTGAGTGCACACGCCGGGAAATTCATGAGAGCTGGATCAGCCGGAAAAGGGATCGTTGCCTCTTGGCGCTCTCTATACCAAGCTTTTCCATCCCGACATCAACGACTGAGGAGCGAATGAGAAGAGAGAGAGAAAGAGATGTGACAAAAACCAAGGAGGAACGAGGAGAACAAATCGAAAGGGAGGGTGTCGATTTGCAATCCGGACGATATTTGCAAGTTAAAGACTCGCACTGCCGGCTAAAGCACAACGTACGCCGCATCGTCCGGATAATCCGGTGGATCGAAAGAGATTCGTTTCGCCTCGACGTCGCCGCCGCCTAGAATCCCGCGGCTGTCTTTTAAGATCAAATTACGTGTCGGCCCAAGAAAGCGGACTCGGAAGTGCTCCAGGGAACATTTCATGCCTCGCGATTGCGCGATTTTCATCCGAAGATTGTCGCGCTGATGGCTTCCCTTTGACGTCGTAATTGTGGTATAATAAACACATTTACTTTCACAAAGCGCGGATTGTATCATTTTTCACGTGAGCCTCAAAGACGTAACTTTGGTTCATGGGCTTTGTCCTACAACGATTATGGGAAACCATTCCATCAAACGAAGATAATTAAAAATATTATGGCAACGTAATAAACGCAAAGTGTAAAATAATAAACGTAAAAAACCTAAACTGAGGCATGACTCGCTGATCTTTGCAAGCTTTTCTCGTCAGGAATTTCTGACTCCCCTATCGATATTATTAGTGAGTCCTATTGTGCACGAAACTCCATACGAAACTTTATATTTCTGATTGCTTGACGTCTCGAACTTCGCTTCTTCAGCCTATCTTTATGGAGAGACGCGCATAACTTTTAATTCCCGATTCCTCTCTGCGAATCTAAATGTGTGCGCTATGTGATGGCTCCTGTTTGTGCACGAAATCGACTTGTATGTAATTCTTCGAAAACGTTACAGGCACAAGGATCCTGTCGAACAGATCTTTACGCTCGAATTTCCGCGTTGCGACTCTCTTTCATCGTTTGCGTGAAATTTTGTTTTCTTTGTTTTAATTACATAAATTGTCGAGATTACATGAATTAAAATTGTTTTGGTTCACTCGATGGATTATTTATTAAAGCAGTCCGATTTGAGCGATGAGAGTTGACCACGTGCCTTCGAAGAATTCATTGTGCAGCGTCTGGCATCTTCCTTGTGTGTGCATCTTTTTTGTGCGTGAAAAGAGCTACGTCTTTTTATCTGTTCTTTCTTATCTCTCTTTACCTTGATCATTTCTATTAATACGGATTAATTCTAATCTCGGTTTAAGTTACTCTTCATTTTGTTTAATTCTAAAAATTAGAAAAAGATATGAGTTCAACCGAGATTAAAATTAATCTACATTGGTGTTAATTTACATTGGTGGAAAAAACGAGCACCTGTCAACTTTTTCTACTATATTTTCAATTTTTTTAACATTTTTTTTACCTTTATTGTTTTTATTTTCTATCTTATATTATTCTGCATTATTTTTTTTTTGGTATTATTTTACTTTCTTCACTTAAAACAGAAGTATCCAATTTTAAGATATTGAAATGTTTTATTCTTCTCTCCATTTTTAAACACTTAAAGATGTTTAAGTTTTAAACTTTTTGAATAAACAAAACACTATGTGTTTGGATTTAAAACACTAAAATGTTTAAAATTGAATGTTTGTTTTGCAAAGATATATGTTTCAAAACGTAAACGTTTTAAACACTGCACCTTTTACAGTGTTTTTATTCTGCTTCATCTATCCATCTACCTATCTCACTTCTTTGCTCTTTGACGCAATTTCGATGTCTGATACAATTCTTAAAGCGCCGCGAACGTTTCGTTCATAGAGCTCCGCTTGGATTCTTGCAGGTGGCGACCGCCGCTGAGAAGAAGAAGCTCTACTTCAACGTGGTGCAAGGACCGATGGAGAATCAGACCGTCACCGTGGAAGGCGGTGGCGTGAACGCCACCATCATCACCGCCAACATCGCCGCCACCAACGGGATTATCCACATAATCGACAGGCTTCTCGGGGTGCCCTACACCACCGTGCTCGACAAACTCAGGACTGATCCGATGCTCAAGTGAGTCCCTTACCTTCTTCCTCATCTTTATTCATCTTTATGCAAAGCGACTCGGATCATCGACTCTCTAGTTTTATAAAGGATCTCGAGCGTCGTACCAGTGGCATTTTAAAAAACACAAAAAGCAGAAGAGGGCGCATAAGAGACATCCATTACCCGATAGAGTCAACTTGCAATTCTGTTTAATTTTACGAGTTCACGTTTTCGTTGTATTTAAATCTTTAATTTTACGTTCCAGAGTAATGTGAACAGGAATTATGTAAATTCGTTGCGCCGAGGCGTCCGGAATTTCCACTCCATTTCGTATTCCCTCCTTCCGCAGGAGAATAAAATACAGGATCCCGATTTTCTGTTCGCACGACGAAATGATATACCGGATGATGATTCGTCCCTTAAAGAAAAATATCTTTATCTCGATAATTGCGAAAACGGGTCCTGCTGTCACGTCCTTGGATACACGTGGCTCGGTCACGCGAACATGTGCGAGCTTCCACCCACGTGTAGATACGATCTTCGCAAGACACACCATCATCGCTACACCTTACCTATTCCTGAAAGAGAATCTTATCCGCACGTGATTCCGCGAACCTTTCTTCCGCACGACTCGCCTAACCCCGTCTCGCTTCCTCTTCTTCCACTTCCTCTCGCTCTCGTTCGAATTTAATTAAAATAACGCAACAAATCCCCATTCCAATTATCGTAGACTCCCATCGACCCCGCCATGGCGATGCTGTCGACGTAAAAAACTATAACTGTGCCAAAGTCTTACGCCTGGAATTGTACGGTTCCGCAGGGCACCACGTCGTACCTATTAAATTCGTAGTTGGGCGCGTCCCTCCACGTGCCGATATTGCCTCCTTGTCCAATTTAACGGTCGGCACTCGAAGTGCAAAAAGCAAATAAACTCACTCGGCGAGATTACCCGGCTAGAACATACCGGGCTCGAAGTACGAACTCTCGGCACATCTAGACTCGCCCCGTTTAACTCCGGCGTCCTACAATCCGGGAGATTAGGAGAACCTCGAGATTCGTGAACTTCTGGAAACGATTAGTCTGAGGTTAAGGCATCGAGGTATCGAAATTTGTAGAGCCTATTGAAATCCAAAAAGTGCATAGTCCTAAAACATTCATAATGGAATGATTTTAAGAATTCAGTTTCTAAAGGTGGCCACCAGACGATATGGTCAATGTACGCCAGATTTTCAAATATTACATACAGATACATGACATGCATAATTATTCATGAATGTAGACCATTTTTAGTGAATGTGTGCATAATTGGCTTATGTTGGCTAAATCGTCTGAAGGCACCTTAACAGATTTGTTGATGTAAATTTTTAGAATTTGAAGATTCGCGAAGAGTCTAGGGTCTATGAGATCTAACAAGAGATTTGTCACAAATTGATTCAATTCTCCTTGATAGATGTTGTTAAATACAAAATAAGAGACACACCATTGGAAAATTTAAATTAACTTTGACACATCTCACATGTCTCAAACAGCAGTCCACTCAAATTTATATATTAATGTAATACAAAATGAATACGTTAAAAAATAATGTAAATATTATTTAAGAAGATAAACACAAAAAAGATAATACTGACACAGTTTGTAAACAAACTGTGGAATTATTTTTAGTAAAATTAGCATTTATAATATGGTAAAGTAATATGGTAACACATATTTTATTCATTCATGTTAGAATTTAAATTATAAAATACATTATTTTTACGTATAATTTGTTTACTTATTCACAAATTGTATTATTTTGACACTAAGAAATATTGAATATTAATTTAACTAAAACTATTTAAATAACATAATCATGTTATATTAAATTAGCACTTGAATATATTAAAAAATTCAAGATTTTAACGAGGACTCGAGTGAAGCGTTTTCAACACAATGTTTTTTATTGTGTATTTTTTTATATCGTTCAAATTTAAGATTAAGGGGATTTAAGAAATAATCCCTCAAATCTAACACTTATATTTAATTCACACCAATTATCAACAAAACAGTGAGATATATATAAAAAAATGTTTTAGATAAAACTTTTATGATTTTTTATATACCATGTGTTTAAATTTGTTAAAATCCAATATTTTAAAAACACCTCTATTTCTCTATTAAGTTTTTAAGTATAATTGTTTCACCGCTTAAATCTCAAATTGAGCTGATCTAAAAAATACGTGTCTCTTGAATTTTTTATTTAACAACATATTTCAAGAATCGAATCAGTTCCAAACAATTGCGATAGGATCCTTGTAAGATGCAACAACAACTAACGGTTTTCTGATGGGAAATTGTTTATGTACGCTGATCCAAATAACTGGCCAACAATCGTGCCTCATCATACCGCCGGCGGCTTTCCGCGCGAAGAAAGCTGCGGATTATCTTCTAATTTAAAATTATAATTGATAACCCGTGGACGGGTTCTCGCGTGGAGTTCTTCGCAGACTCGAGAGATACGACGGGCGAGCTCGGCGGCTTTATAAAGAGCGGAGAGATCAACTCCCGAGGTGGAGGGCGGATTAAATCCCGTAAGAGGCAGCGGAAAGGTGAGACCGCTCGGAGAAGCGAGGATAGAGTAAACATCGCGTTGTTACCACGGTGTACTCTCGCAATCCCCCGCCACTAAAAAATTTTCGCGCTGTGCTTAACTCGTACGCTCCTGATTCAATTAAAACGATTTAAGCAACGCGAATGAGGCATTATGAGAGGCATTATTTACAACCTCCGTCTCCGTCCGTTGAAACACCCCGCCTCGTGAAATCGTCAGCGTTTCATCGACACGAAATTCATCGCCGATATTTCTCCCCGTCTTTTTCAGCTCGACCTATTCGCTGGGTCAGCGACGTGGATTCAATGATCAGTTGAACGATACGAAGAAGCGATTCACGTACTTCGCCCCGTACGATTACGCCTGGAAAGACGCAGCGAATAACTATCCATCAACTACTAAGAAGCTCTTCATGCCCGAGTTCAGTTATCACGTGAGTAAACTTCCCAGATGCGCGCGTACTGCATCTTAAACTTTTATATCCGAGATTATTGCTGTCAGAGCTGTGCATCTCTTAATCTTCTTGCCTTATTGGATCGTTAAATTTTTAAATGGTTGTACTTTTTTACTATCTACTTTTCTCTCTCTCTCTCTCTCTCTCTCTCTCTCTCTCTCTCTCTCTCTGTCGAGATCACAAACAAAAGAATCCTATACTAATCGTATAAAAAAAGCGGGTTTAGTCAAATTGACTGAAAAACTGTAATATTCTGTAGATGTTCTAAAGCTTTCATAAACACAACCATCAAAGATTGTCAGATTTTATTGTAACGCCATTTTTTGAAAGTTGTTATATTTTCTAATTGGACTAAATAAAGTATCTTTACCTATCAAACTATTCATTTGTTAGTAATTGCACCTAATTACTTTTATGTACAAAGTAATAAGATGAATCAATTAGTGTAAAAAAAAACACATAATTGTTTTTTAAAAGAGTATGTAATTGTATATTGCAAATTACATAATTTTTTTAACAACTATATATTTTTTCACATCATCAATTGATTTATCTTATTATACATCGTATACATAAAAAATATTAAAATTAAAAATAGTTTAGTAGATAAAGATACTTTTTAGTTCGATTCGACTTAAAATAGCAAATAACTTTTTTCAAATAGTGCTACAGCAAAATCTGTCCATTCTTTGATAGTTATGGAGACTTTTGATTAACAAACTTGAAAACTTAATGTTGTTTCATAATCTATAAAATATCATAGTTTCAGCCAATTTGACTAAAACTACTTTTTTTATGATTAGTACAGGATCCTTTAGATTTCTATTATTTTCTCAAATATACGATAGCACGAGGAGTCAGCTGTCCAAGAAGATCTCAATGTACGTCCAACTGTAAAAGTATATATAATTCGTTTACAGACGAAGCAGATATTGGAGCGACATCTCATAATAGCGGATCAGGCGTACACGATGGCGAAGCTGAAAGAGATGAGCAACGACACCCTCAACCTCCCAGCGGCCAGGGACACTTTAAAGCTTCGTATCAAGGAGCACAGCGAAAGTGAGTAAATAAGTTTCGAAAAAACGATACATCTGTCGCATCTGAATGTCAACTTAGGCAGTCGGACGTTTCGCAAAAATTTCATTCGTCCAACGCGGAAGACGGCGCGAAGTTTCGTACGAGCGTAATCTGGACGCGCGAATTCGGGATACGTTAGAGAAGCCATAGGGACAGTTTCCTCGGTGACACAAACGCGTTCTTTTGCTCAAACATTAGCTATCTAGAGCGATAGCTCGAATATCTTGTCTCGCGACGTGCTCGCGATTATTTTCACGAATTGGAGACGCGGAACTGTCACGGAGATGCCGCGTCCCCGCGCCTGTCACCGACACTCTCAAACCTGGTGCTGTCTGATTACATGTAGATGAGAGGTACGACGAAAACGCAATCCGTCCAGAAACATCCGGTGAGTGAGCTAAGTGTGTTTAAACGTCGCCGACGAGCGACGACACGAGCGCTTTCACTTTGTACGAGCAGCACAGTTATTATAAATTGCGATCTACCGAAGGAGTGCACCCTTCTTACGCACCGCGTTACGCACTCGCGCGTTACGTCTGTGCGCGCGGGAGGATGAAACTCATGCGTAACTCCTGCCCCAGCGAAGTTCGTTTTCTATATAATTGCCGGATCTGTGGGCTCTTGGATGCGTAAATTGCGTAAATTGAATATACGATATTTAATGATATCGGAATTCCATATTCTTACACATTTAACCCTAGAATGTTATTGTGGGTGAATTTTTAGTCGATCATTTAGTAGATTATATAGTAATAGATTATATAGTAGATTTTAATAGATTATATAGTAATTTTTTTGTTTTATTAGAATTTTGATAGCTTCAAATAACATTTAAAAGATCTTGTTCCAAGGATTTACGAAATTCGAATTCGAAATCTAATCTCAGAATTCAAATTACAAAAAAATAATCTAATTATCGTGAAATTAAGTTCTTTGAATTTGAATATAGTCTGAAAAAAAAAATATATATATATATATATATTAAGTTTCAAAAATTTGTTAATGATAGAGAATCTAGTATCAAAGGCTCGCAATCACAGTGTGGAAATAAATACTAATTATTTGTATCACTAATAAGCTTCAAATAAATAAAACTTGAAACTTGATATTATTTCGCTAAAAATTTGCTAAAAGTGAATTTTATAATAATCAAATATATTATTTTTTAAATTCTGTTCACCATATTGAATGCATTATTATTGCATATTATATTTAATTTTTTTACTTTTAACTTCAGAATCAAGTAAATCAAATTATCTTATAGGCCAAGTTTCATAAAAATTTAACAAGTATAGTTTACAAAACAAAAAGGGATGCTCTCAAATGAAATTACTTATCCACAAAGGGATAAGATTATTTAACATTAAAATTCATTTTTTTTTACATTGAAACTGTGTTAGTTCAATTATTTTAATTGTATGAATGAATTTTCACTTAAAATAGTTAATGCAAAAAAAAAATATAAATTGCATTCCAGGGTTAAATTCGATAATTTTATGTAGAACTGTAGTTTCAATTAAATATAAGGCACTTTGAAGAACATGCACGTGAAAGAACGGGAGAGGACTCGGCATCCCAGGAATCCCGTGAATCCTGAAAATCTTACGCTCGTTAAATTTTGGTACTTATCTTTAGATCCTTGGGTGCTGCCTTTCGTGCAACGATTTCTGATTTGTTTTCTGTATGATCGCACGCCGAGCTTGTGCGCTTACGCTGACGCTTATACGCTTACGCATACGAAGGATCTAACGCGGGGAAAAAGCAATGCCCCTTCGAAATGAAACGAACTTCGCTCGGTGCGTAGAGACTGCGCAGAGATCTCGTTCGCACGGAGATTAGTGACCAGCCGTCGATGCTTCGTTTAATTATTTTGTATTATTTGGGATATATTGCATCGCAGTTGAATTATACATTGCATCTGTACATTGCAGACGTTCTTAAACTGCGATATTTGGTATGAATCTTTCGTTTTGAAAGTCTCGTTACTTCTGCATCATCCAGAAAAAGGAAAGTTTCTTCGATTTAAAGAAATGTTTCTTTATTATACGATTAAAAAAAAAACAATTTCTTTGATTTGAACATAATTCCCTTAAATGAAATTTTTTTATTTGATTTCAAACAATAATGTTTAAATCAAAGAAATGACGTTCAAATCAATGAAATTTTTTTCTTTTATCGTATAGAAAAAAACATTGAAAAAAATTTTGGTTGAAAATGAACAAAAGATACGATAGAATTTTCTGATTAAATTTATTATTGTAGAATTCCAGTTGAGATAACCGAAATTCTGGTTGATACAATATGTCTGATAAAATCTACTAAAATTCGTATTTTTATCAGAATAATTATATCAATTAAAATTCTAATTATCTCTACTAGAGTTCTAGATTTAACCAGAAAATTCTGATTCATCAGTTTTCCATCAGAATTACTATTTAATTCAACCAAACCATTTTTCTCACAATCAGTGTAACATCTTTCTTTAAATCGAAGACCTTTCTCTGAATGAATGCTTGAGAATCTCTGTCTTACCACAATCAAACCCACTGTTAAATAATACAAAGGACTACGCGCTCTCAATGGACGGCCCGGAAAATTAAAACCAACCCGATTTTCACGATCAATTAAAACCGGGACTCTCATTCCTGCGGGACGAATTCATGCCGCAATTTTCGTTACAGTCGCAAGCGGGACCCCAGGGGAACTTAGTGCGTAGTCAAAAATCACTGAATTGAAATAAAAAGAAAACGACGAGAAATAAAAGCAGCGAGAAAGAGAGGGGTGGAAAGCGACAACGCGGAGTGAGCGAAGCGCGCGCGGGTGCGCGAGAAACAAAAGCGTATTAATTGCGGCGAGGGCAACAATACTCATTGTGAACGGCGGAATTAATTACGACGAGCAGAACGCCATTGTTACGCGTAAATTAATTGCGACAACAACAGCAATAGGATATCATTACCTTTGTCGCAAAACGAGGAATCATCCCTCCTCGCCATTTTGATTACTATTTATCGTATGACCTCTGCCTGCGTAAACGTACGACACGTGGTGATAAGGATAAGTAACTTCGAAGAATCTTATAGAGGAATCTTATAGAAGAATCATCCGGTAGCGAGGATATAAAATTCTACTTGATCTGAGAGACGTACGTCAGCTGTCCCATAAAAGAGAAAATGATTCGCAATCGTTACATTTTTAGATTATATGTACAAAGATATTAATCCCTTAATATCTAGCCGTGTTCTATAAGTGGTCGAAAGCCAGCTGCCCGCCATTGTATTAACATTAAAGCGACAGTAATTTGTTATGCGGGGGTCGATACTAATTACTTTCCCGGTTGATTCGACCGCATGTTGTTTCAACAAATTCACCTACGGGAGAAACAAAATGGTATCCGAATATTAATGAAGCCTCTACTAATCGAAACGGTCGAAATGTAAAAGTGCTTGTAATATTTCGCTTGATTTAAATTGGAAACTTTTGGAAATATTCAGGTAACAAATAACGTAACGATCGAGGACTTGTTTCGGTGTGTTATGTACAGGTTTTGCTGAAATATCTATAAAGTTTAGGTATGAGATACAAACCTGAAAATAATTTTATTGGATTATCAAAAATAATTATGTAGATCGCTCAAACTGATTGCTAAAATATTAAAACTTTTTATAGCATTGCTGATTGCCTGGTGAACAAATTTTGCTGAAATTGAATAAAGTAAAGAACGCCGAACGGTCAAAGTTAGATGTTACGAATATATTTAATCAATTTTTTGTTCCAAACATTTGGAATTCGATTTATTCATACATGATGATTTCTTCTTATAATGTTTGCTGAAATTATACGTTTTGGAACATTTCAGCGAATTGCTGAAAATTTGCTGAAATTTCAATGAAGGTGAATTTTTCAGCTAATATTGAAAAATCGTTGGAATTGAACTGAAATTTTGTTGAAATTAAACTGAAATTTTTCTGAACCGCTAAAATTTTACTAAAAAGTGTTCTAAAACATGAAATAATTTCAGCGAAATTTTTCCACCAGGGATAGATTTGAGTTTCTTATATAATTATTTTGATGTGGTTCAATGAAATTATTTTCAGTTCTTCAACGAAACAAAACTTCAGTTAGAGATTTTAAACGCGTTAATGAAAGAATTATTTCTCGCCTTCCAACTTCGATTTCATTTGTCGGTTTTCTTTCAACTAGAGAGATCTGTATCTAGATCAGATTTATATTTCAGTTTTTAGATATTTTAGCAAAATCTTTCTATGTGATACGTATTTTTCGCGCAAGCTCAACGCAAATAAACTACTCGAAAGGGGACTTCGTTTCCGTATGCGTTGTCGCGAGATGCAACGAGTCCAACTTCCGTCGCGTCGCGTAAAGTCCAGGAAATTCTCGAACGGATGCAACGCAACCCCCATCCCCTAAACAGTTCCTTTCACAGTCCCGCGTTTTGACGCCAGAGTATGATGAATATCTGGTCACCGCGCGTTGGGATTTTTCCGCGTTATCGAAAATGAAACTCGTAGCAGTGACTCGCCGTTTTGCGAAAAATATGTCGCCTCTCGAGCCCTTCTCAAACGCGGAAGCCGGAAACGAATGCGCGCGCCATTATGTACCGGAACCGCAAGGCGATTTATTATGCACCTTTCGACCACCATTTAAATGCAAATTCCTTGATTACCCCCGGCGCTAATTGCTACGTGCTCTCCCGGTTATTCACTCTCGCCTATGAGCAAATTTCCGAGGCGTTTCCCAAGCTCGCGACCGTCGCTTTTACCGCTCTGTTTTACAATCCCGCGAAGGGGCACCAGAGGAGAGCGAGAAAAAGATTGAGTTCAGACTCTTCGTTAAGCGAGGCGAAGACGCTTAAACATACAAGGTGGTGTTGGAAGAATAACAAAAGTGTTACTTACGTGTTTGTCGAAATATAACGACGATAACATACTGAAAAAAGTTTGATAATAGTTGCTTTCCATTTACACACAATGAAGCTAAGTCTGACGTGATCTGAGTATTTTATACTAAGATTAATGACGTCACTACTTGCTTACTTTGGCTGTGTTCCAAAATTTTCTGCCAGTACTAAAAATCTATAGTGCTTGTAACGTAAATTGTAGCGTTTTCAGTGTTGGCAGTAAATTTGGAACACAGCCTTTGGTAAAAAATTATCACTGATGTCAGCACAGGTTCGTAATTTCACTTTGAAATGAGTTTACGAGACTCACTAAGACTTAGTTTCACAACTCACGCTTAATCGAGATTCAACTTATTCTCATCTCTTTCCAATTCTAGCATTAGAAAGAGATGAGGAATAAATTAAACCTCGGTTAAGAGTAATCATGAGTTGTGAAACTGGGCTTTAAGCACACAATCTCGATTTTGTGCAGATTGTAGGTAAAAACTTAGTTAAATCTCACTTGTCAGAATGCAAAAGAAACATGCATTCAATTGAATTATAACGTCACAAGTGAGAATTATCTGAGAATTAACGTAAATGGAAACCAACTAATAGCTAAATATTGAGTGAAACACGTCGTCTACAATATACGAAATAAGTTACTTGGTATAAAAGTAAGAAATTGACCAATCACAGTCGAATGTAAGAACTGTGATTGGTCAATTTACTATTGCTTCTTACATCAGACTTACTCCGCATATTATAGACGACGCAAAACAGTTTCAATCAAATGTTTAGTTATTGTAACTAATAATAATTTTACTTTCCTCAATATATATTTTCCTAATTATTAACAAATAATTTGTTAATAATTAGGAAAGTACAATATTGAGGAAAGTAACATTATTTTTGGTTAAAGTTATATTATTATGTCTGGTAATACTTACTAAGTATTTAGAGAAATACAATTTCTTTTGATCATATTAACCGAACATTTGATTGAAATTATTTCACTCAACGTATGGTAGTTGTTACCAGACACTCTTTTTTCAGTGCACGCCAAATGGAACCTACTTTATTTGCGATCGTATGGCGCCATTTATGTTTCTCACTAGATACTGTCGCTGAATTTAGTTCATCGAACGTTATTAGAAAGTTGATTCTCTCTATTTTATTTTTAATCCATCGATTTTTCTTTTTAGCATCTCACGACGTTTATTTTAGGATCTCTATATAGACTATTCTCCCATCATCGAATTTTTCATTCGAGATTCGGCGGGGGAGAGCTTTGTATTCTGCATCGCAGTACCGCTTCACTTATACGCATCACGCGGTTTCCCCGATTCTCGTTCAAAGATCATCGTCAAGTCTCTCTCTTTTCAGGCTACCAAGTGGAATGGGAGGGCAAGAAGATCCGCGTCATCCGTCCGGACGTCGAGTGCACCAACGGTATCATCCACGTGATCGGCTCTGTGTTCCTCAAGGATAGCGACGTCCGAGTGACGGGTGGCGCGTCGCTGGCTACCCTGGCGCCCCATCTAATCATGATACTGATAGCCAAGTGGCACCTGTAAAAGCCCTCATCGCGTCGCATCGTCTCGTATCTGCGGCAGGTGCGTCTATAGGAATTCTCCTTGGGGGCCGTCTCCTATCGTCCTCGAGCGGCGGCGACAACGACGACGCAACGCGGGTAGGCATGGTCGATCGACCCGTTCGATCGGACTCTCCGAAAGGACATTTATTGTGCACGGGGAAATGAAGGGGGAAAGGGGAGGGCGGGGAAAACTTGAGAATCCGAAGATCCGGTGGTGACCGAGAATCCGCGAGATCAGAGATCCATGGGACTTAAACGATCCGAGGATCGACGGGGATTCGCGGGATCCGGAGATCCAAGGATTCGTTCACGTACGTGGCTCTAAGATCGCCAATCTGTAGACGTGAAAGGGAGAAGGGGGGGGGGGGACGAGAGGAAGAAGGGCAGGAAGAAAAGTGTCCGATCGGTTACTTTATAACGATCGTACGAAGGCACGAAGGAAGCTCTCGCCGAGGGAACGACGCGAGGACGACCGAGCACTCACGATCGCACGGCCTCAGAATGCCAGGATAGCCTATTATTTATTGAGTAATCGTCCGTGGACGTAGCGGGGACAATTTTACGGGTTAGAAGCGTTAATCGTACCAAATAAATGGTTAATCTCGTACCAAGTAATCTAAATAAATTTATTGAGAGATGGAAGAGTGTGAAGAGAGGCGGAGGAGAGGTAGAGAGATTTCGAGGAACCTACTTCGAGTATTAAGGCAACGATGAAATTGCATCTCGTGAGATCACGCGACTGTCAGCGAGCGACGCAAATATGCAAATAAAATCGCGCTTTAATCGATCGTTCTTTCCATTATTATCTAAGCAATCGTATTGGCAAGAAATTATTTGATTTTGTGTCTCAACCAAGAAAAAAATTGTGACTTTACAGTTGAATAAGATGATCGATAATGCATTTAATTGCATATCTCACGCGCCGTTCTGTAGAATTAATAGGAACTTAATGACGTATCAAAACGTTTTCACACGACCCTTAGAACAAGACTTCGCCATTCCCTCGCGGAATTGTACGATTTTATATACGACAAGTACGATTTTATACAATCGTAAACATTAAGTCCAAAATCCTTTCCCTCCAAAGCGACGACGGTAATAAAACTAGACGCAATCACCTGTTGCAATTAACGACAGTAATAACGTCGAGACGCAATATCGATCACTTCAAATGAGTAAGCATTTTCGGGATAAAGGAATCCATCCCGAATCTTACCATCTCGAAATTCATCGATTTCAAAGTCCTGTGTATTCTTTTTCGCATCCATGGATCCTCTCAGAGAATAGGACAGTCGGATTTTTATCAAATCTCAGGACTCCTGTAGATCCTTAAATCCCTATGTGAATTTTCGCTTCTTCGACTTTTCGAGCGGGATCCACGGATCCTCGAACTCCTAATAGACAAGAAGTCTGTTCTTTTGAGCTGAACATTTCTTGCACAGTTCATCTTTCTTCTTTTTCTCTCTACGTTGAATAAAAAAAAAAGAGAAAATAAGATGAACGTGCAAGAGGTTCAGTTCAGAAAGTACAGGCCTCATACTTTTGAGTTAGAGATCCTTAAGTAAGAGCCTGGTTATTCGAAACAAATATGGCAATATTTGACTCTGTATTGCAGAGTATATAAGCTTTTATAAGCTCTATGTGATTCAACCTATAGCCGGAGGCGTTACGAGGCACTAAACAGGTACGCTCCAGCATACGGCGCAAAATTTTAATAGGCAGCGTTACTCTTGTAAATATAAAGCTCTACCTTGATATTTTAAATGAATTAGCTAAAAGTGATTTTCTGGAAATCTTTTCAAATTTAGCAATAATGTTATAGATTTTATTAACTGTGCCAATATCTATGACAATTGCAGAGGCATCTTTTTCGAAATTAAAAATAATAAAGAATTATCTGAGAAATACAACGACACAGACGCGGTCACGCGATTTAGCTACGATATCAATTGAAAAAAAATTGGCGAACAGTCTTAATTACGTCGTAACGTCTCTGTCTTTAGCTCTGCCATAACTCATATAGATCGACCATGATCTCCCTAAATCTTAAGGAACAAAAATAATTAAAACCACTTAAACAAACTATACTTAATGATTCACATGAAATTAATTTTGGAAAAGAAGATAGAATTAGGAAGATTATAGAAAATTTTCTGAGACTCCAAGATGGCTAGTGTGAAAAATTTAAGCTTTTCCAGTTCGAAGATCGATTAAAAATTTTAATAGAAAAAGTAAATTAATAAATTAAATACGTGTGATTTATCTGCAAGTAATTAATGTAAAAAATATAATTAATATAACAATTCCAATAAATCCATCCTCCTCCTTTCACGAGTTCAAAAGTATCAACTTTAATTTGATCCCTCCTCAAATAAAATTCTTATATATACAACGCTGCCGTATTTGTCTCAACTGTAAACAGACTGCTGAGTGCCCAAAGACTTTTATTTGATGCTCTCTACTTCAGGTCTTCGTAGATTCACAGTCGATCGGTCGATCTAATAATCATTGTCGTCAGTTAGCGTCGTTGTATCAATTCGCGGCAGTCTTGTGATGAAATCGGATCGAGCACCGACACAAACAGACGCGTAAAAACACGTCAACGTCATCACGGTATGGCGATACGGCGAACGTATCCCGGGGTGCGAGCGCATAGCGACGCGAACGGGGTGAACGTTCAGCCCCCTGTTCCTTCCCCTGTTAAACCTCGTCGTTCCCTTTAGGACACCGTGTTTTCGAGCCTTTCGTTGTCACGGAAGGATTATAACGGCCACCGCGGCCGCTCAGGGACGGCCCCGAACGATACCCCGCTATGTATCATATCGTATTTACGCTGTCTACTTACCGAGAATACTGCCATGCACGCAGGCTTGCGGACGAGCTTGCAAACGAGTTTTTGTACGATAATTATTAACGGAGGGAGAGCGAAAGGTAGAAAAAGAGGAAAGAGTAAAAGCGAGGACGCTCTATCTTGAAACCGGCGATCCCTAAAAAAAAAATAAAAAATAAAAAACAAGTGCGTTAAGCTATTACACGAATTTAGAAGCGCGAGGAAATAAAGTATCTTGACTTAGGATGCGCAGGGAAAGAAAAGTTTGGCACTCTTAGCTTCTATTAGTTTGCAAATTTACAACAGAAAGCAATATCCTCTTAATTTTCTCGTATTATCTAGGATACGGTAACTTGTTAAAAGAGGAAACTGACAGGAATTCATTCTGTGGAGTGAAGGGAAAAAGAGAGTTTGCTGCACAACGTATCTTAAATACCTGTTAAAGAATTAAATTAAGAAAGGTCGCTGAATTAATTCCCAACAAAGAAATTCGTCCGCAGAAGGAATTCCTATCTCCTTTGGTTCGCTTATTTTTTTACGGGAACGGAAAGACATTCCGTGACCATATCTACTCTAAGTGCACGGCACGCGCTATCGTTCTTGTAATAACTACATCCCGATGAACTTTCTTTTCCCTCCACGCTCATCGCATTGTTACAGGCACACGTACAGGCACATGCATATATACACGCACACCTTGCCCGTCGAGTAGCGAACTTACCATTAAGATCTTAGCTGTATGCGAGCAATAGCGACGGCCCATCTTACTCGTAGAAGGGAAGTCCGAAAGACGCGGCTAAAAGGAAACTGGTATAAGTTTATAATGAGATCGATTAGACGCATTCAGTGCGCACTGATGCACATTAAAACTGTTGTATACAGATTAACGTAAAAATACGTGTTTAACTCTGGAATATACACCATAAGTTTTCCAGACCCAAACGAAATTTTACTTGCTTCGAAGAAAAGAAAAAGAAGATTTCTCTTTTATAATGTAATATAAAACTTTCGAGCATTACGATCTATGCAGGTATATTCCTAAATCTCAGAGAGCTTTAAAATAAAAAAGAAAGAAAGGTATTAATCAAAAATCTAAATCAAAGTTACATCCTATTAAGGTTACAGTAGATTTGGAAGATATATTGTAATTTTGACAGGTGTGTTTTCAAAATATTTTGGAAGGTGTGTGTTCTAGGGTTAATATAAATATAGAAACGAGTTAAACCGCGAAATCATCAATAAACTTTATTGTGCTGTTAGATAAAATATGTATTTTATAATTCGAAATTTTTGCATTTCACTTTTATACTCGAATTAAATCAGTACATAACAGCTTTAATGTACATCAACGCACACCAGTGCGTCCGAATTTAGAACCGATAATCAAATGAGATCCGAAAGGTGGGAATTAATTCTTTCGTTGACCAAAAGTCGAAAAAAAAAGGGCAAGTTAGCACTTCTCCGAGCTTCTCTTTCAATGATCGTGATATATATTGAAAATCTTTGATACATGCAAATATATTTCTCAGATACGTACCGTTTTAAACGCATCGCGAGAGGATTTTGACTATAGATTATTGAATTTTTAAATATCCGCATATCTTGGAAGCGATCCGAGATCCAAAGAGACGCGGAGAAGAAGCAGAACTTTATTCGTTAATTAATCGGATGTTCCCTTAGTGAGAGTATTCTCGCACAAGCTTATCTATCGAGGAAATGAATATTAAAGGATAATGAATATTAAAGGACAAACGGAGCTTTCCATTTAGCCTTCGTCTTCGCTAAGGTAAAATCGATTTCACATTCTCTCACGAATAAAGTCCTGCTGCAAGCGCTACGCTTGCTTGTAGTGCAAACGAATTAAAATAATATAAAAAGAAAAAAAGAAAAGCGAATACTCGACACGTTCGGAGCTCGAAGGGGGTGATAAAGCCTCGAAATTTCGTGTCCTCCTTGGGGATGAACCTGAAGTAAATGCAGTAAGAGAAGCGCAAGATGGTTCACGTTCAACTGATAAAACGCCGAAACCTAAATGAAAGACAATTGACTGATCGGATCGTCGTTAAAGTTTCGCAACACGGTCCGATAATTTGTTTGCATTAGTCACGTATAAAAAGAAATAAAAAGATTGTAATTAGCGGGCGCGTAATCGGAGCAGCCACAACTTTCTCCGCGAGAACTTGATTTAACAAGAAAAAAAAAACGTCGATGTTATACGTGTTGATATCAGTCTATACATATATATAAAACAAATAAAGATATATATAATAAACAGAGATATATATTAATGAGGAAGAAAGTATCGATCGAAGAAGAACGAGTCGAGGGGAAAAAAGACGGGAAGGTAGATAAAAAGAAGAGAATAAAAGATTGAAAGAGAAAAGAAACAAAATACTATCAGATGATAACTTAAACTTGTTGTTGGGATGAATTGATATTACGAATTATTATTATTATTATTACAATTATTACCTATATAAAATATACATAAACTCTAATTAATACTGTTTGCTCGTTAGATGAACTAAGAAAAAAGAAAAAAAATAGCGAAACTCTATTTCTCCGTGTAGATGTGTCTTAATGTTCAGCTTGTTCGGCAGCCACGCAGTCGACACTAAGTGAGCTGGGTTCGGGGCTGCCATAAATCGATGGGGGATGATTCGAGTCGGGAGACAAGATCAAACCGACTGCCATGCGAGACTTAAAAAAAAAATTCACGCTCGTAGAGCGAAAAGAACGTTGTACGGGAAAAAGATGCACACACACACGCCGTCGGTGTTGTTATTAACATTATAAAAGAGCCATAAATTGTTGAAAAATCGACCACCGTCCACGAGTCGCGTTTTACATATAAATGTTATCACGTTCACGAATATATTCCAAGATTTTGTAACATATGGCGAAGTTATAACGTTCACACTTCGCTGTATATGTTACAAAATCTTGCATTAACTCGGGAATAGTCACCTGAGGTATTTTTATAATTTCAGCAACGAAAAAATGTGAATTGTAAAATGGATATCGTTTTCTTTCTTTTTGAACATATTTTCTCTCTTTTGTAATAATGATTACAAATCTTGAAATGCGCAATCCATTGAAAACTTATATAAAAAAAGTTATATTAATTTTAAAAAATCTTTATTTTTTATAAATACTATTAAAATATTCGTAATAAGCTACTTAATGTACTTATTACGTTTAATATTTCTCTGGTTTCTACTTACTTTTTCCAAAAATTGTGAGTAAATCTATAATATTCTCAAATCGAAAAACAATACATATATCGTTAATAATGGTGATTTTTAATTAAAGCATAAAAACACCTCAGGTAATCGTTTACATAAAAAAATGAGATGACTGCTCCTGGGTTAATATTGTTGAAATGTAAAATTCAAATTACTTTCCTCATCTGGATTTTGCGAACGATGGTCGATTGGTCCCACGAAAAAAAAAAATGAAAAGAAAGATTACGAGGAAATGCATTTATGATTTCCAATTCGCAAGCGAAGCTACAGCGAACAAATACATACAGCTAAGTTTAGCTATCCTTACGAATAGTTGTTAACTGTAGGATTACAAATAGGACCAGAGCCGTGATCCTCATAGAAGTGAATAGACAATTGCGTGAATCGTTTGCCGGATATCCGAATGCCTGAGGATCCTCATGAAAGTAATCGATCTGCGATCAGGTTTCAAAAGTGCGCGATATTTAGAATATAAAAGATAAAATGATTTCGGTATTTATGGGTCTGCGGATATTCAGATTTCGGCAGCGTTTATAGATCAAAATCCCTAAGATACTCACACATTCCTAGAAACGTTTCGTTTGAAGACGCTAATCGTTGACAAAAAACCCTTGACACGCCGTTGCCAACGAACGTTAATCGCGGCATCGATCACAGTCCCTGCTGTCATCTTTTTTTATCATCCCTATTGTTACTCCTCCGCTGTTCTGTTCCGCGAGAACACTGACGAGAACGATTGCGAACGCCCAGCATCGACGTTTCGCATTCACGCGTTTTCCTGTACTACATGTAGCATACACTAAAAAAAAGAAGAAGTGTTTAATCTTAAGTTGTTAAAATATTTTATTCTTGTCTCCGTTTTTAAACACTTAACCCTTCGTAATTATATAATACTTCTTTTGGGATCAAAATTACCTCAAATGGTTGCCGTATTCACAGTTCTATGAAGTAAAAAGAATTATTGATTAAAGGGGTCATTGACTCCAGTGTGATCACAAAGGGTTAAAGATGTTCATATTGAAAAAAGTTTTAAACTAAAATATCTTTAAGTGCCCAAGCAAAACAACAAGTCATTATGATATCAAAATGATTCCAAAATGATCATTAAGTCATTTTTCAATCATTTCGATTCATTTTAATGTCATTTTGACGTTATCTGTTTTGGGATTAAAAAAAAAACGAAGACAAAAGTAAAACATTTTATTATCTTAAAATTAAATACTTCTTTTTTTAGTGCATGTGTGTACACACACACACACACACACACATTCGTACGCATAAAATGCACGCGCGCATTTAGAAGTCTCTCACGAAGGCAGACGTTCCCTCTGTCCTCGTCGTCGCACGATCATTTCGAGCCGCATGTTGTAAACATGTTTCGCACTCGTATCCGATTATTTAAAGACTCGACGATCCGGAGTTCCTGGGATCCTCAAGGCTTTCGGAAGCGATTCCTGCAGGGTGCCGACGCTTCCGGAAGCTCCTGATGCCCGGAAACGGGGGCTCCCCTGGGATTCGCGACTGCTGGCCCGAAGATTCGAGGCACCGACGGTTTCAAGGATACGCTACTGATTGCATTTACGCGCGTAGCCGAGGAACGGCAGCGCGTTGTTTTTTTTTTTTTTTTTTTTTTTTTTTTTTTTTTTTTTTTTTTTTAGAGCAGGCTCGATGAAACGACGCGGCGCCACGCGCCACAACGTTAACGTTCGCGTTAGCTTAAGTATGGGGTTTTTAAGCTTTTTAAAGTTACGGCCACCGGGGGGGAGGTCGATATCCCCTCCTCTCTCACGCCCCGGTTGGCGGCAGGTGATACCGGTAAGTGCAACCAGTAACTTAAGCACGCCACACACCATTACGGTAAATCATTAATATGTAAGAGTATAGAGTATGTAAAGTGACATAAAAGAAGATGGGAGAGATCGCAGGCGAGAGATCGTGGTTTTTAAAATTCCGAATGAACGAAGAGCGTATATATAAATATAAATATGAATATAAATATAAATATAAATATAAATATAAAGTGTAAGCGATTTCGTATTTTAAGCGCCGGATAGGCGGGTTTCACAGAAATTAACTGACGAACTATTAAGGATTATTATTTATTAGCTATTACAAAAGTATATGATATAAAAATCTATGTATATTATATAAACCTTATACTAGTAGGGGAAATCAAATTTTATGTACCACAGAGCTATTTGTATAAAAGGCATTTGTTTCACTACACGAATCATGAATTGTCATCGCTAGACATTTGATTGCCCATCATCGTCATTGCCGTCACCAGCCTGACGGCAACTTTAGGTAACATATATTTTGGATAATTAATCATGAGAAGATTTCTAGTTTTTATTAGGATCTTAGGTATATACGTACGTTTGCATTACCTGTATTTTGTCAGGATTAGTTATTAAGTTTCTAAGTCACGTGCGCGCTTGTCAATGCGAAGAGACTGGCGTTTTTAGCGAACGATTTTTATGGAAGGAACCTTGCTCTGTTCGGGCCAATCAAATTTGCAAAGGAAAAAGTCGAGGAGAGCGTATGTACCTTCGAGTTTGCGGGCGAATCGGCGGCGTGTCAACTCTTTCTGTCTGTAGATAAGAATTCGAAAAATAAAAAAAAATCTCAAGATTGAGAGATCCAAAGAAATCCATTGATTCAAATCGATTAATTTAGAAATCGAAGGAGACTATGGATTCGTAGAAGTGTTTAGATATTCGAACGAAAAATTAAACGATGTAATATCTTTAAGACTTCAAACACCTGTTCCGATTCATCAATCGCAATAAAAAGTTCTAAATTTTCTTTTTTCGCTTTAGAATAATATTATTCCTCCTCGAAATAGAGATTGATCGAGACAGGGGATGAAACAGCTTCAAAAATCCGACTCGGCCGTCGTTCGTTCGGCGAACATTCACTTCACTTGTATCTCGCTTCACTACACTGTGTAGATCCGATCGCTTTCGCTGTATGATTTTACAAAGAATAAAGAATACCTACAAGACACAGATCGGAAGGCGTTTATTGAACAGTCCACGATGACCCCAGCGGGATCGAAGATATGTACGGCGGAATGCGCCGATATGTGAGAGGTAAGTTTTGTGTTCGGTCACACGATTTTATATATCGTCTTCTGCGATGTAAAAACCATCTCTCAATTGAAGCTGGATGTAGAACGATATTGATGCAACCATCGCATAAAAAGAGACTGGAAATTAAATTACACTGAGAAAAAAAGGGTATTAAATTTTAATATAAATATTTATTCAAATAATACCGCATTGAAAAAATTTCTGGTTGAAAATGGACGAATCAGAATTTTCTGATAAAATTTATTAGAATTTTAGTTGAGATAATCGGAATTCTGGTTGATACAATATTTTTGGTAAATTTACTAGAATTCTTATTTTTACCAGAATAATTATATCAATCAAAATTCTAATTATCTCAACTAGAATGCTGGTAAATTTAACCAAAAAATTCCGATTCGTTCATTTTCCATCAGAATTATTATTTAATCCAATTACGCCATTTTTCTCAGTGCAACTAAACATTTACTTACAGTAAATAAATATTTATTCAATAAAAAAAGATTGTTAAAATTAACGATTCTTGTACCAAATAAATCTTTATATTTAGTAAATATATTTAGTAAATATTTTTATTTTTGATACTATTCAATCAAATGATTTATTAAAATTTAGAATTTTTTCACTGATTTCATATTTTACACGCTGACAGAAAAATGTCGAAGTATTGCGAAGCAAATGTTACGAAATTTGATTGTGATAACGAAATTCTATGAATTATATCTCATTAGTTGCAAAAAAATAAAATAGATGGCTTATTTGTTAAGAATAAAATTTTATTTCGCTCGTATTTAAATAAATATATTAATTAATATTTAAAAATTCAAATTATTAATTAATATTTTTAGGCATCTTTTTCTCGGATTTTTGCACGAATTTCTCTTTCGCGCACGAAAAAACATTTTTGCTGAAAGATCTAAAAATTTATCTGAATACATTTAAAAATAATTTTGTTTAGACCATCCAAATAATGTTATGTAGAATGCTAGTTGCTAGAATGTGAAAACTTTTTGCAACATTGTTATCAAAACTTAAGTGTTGTACATAATTACTGTTATAGTCCAACAAGGTTACTTTCAGATTTACCTCTAGCTAAATTTTTAGACACTTCAGCAAAATTGTTCCTTCCGTGCAGATTTCGAGGATTTAGGTCAATTTAGGTGAAAGCAAGACACAGGCGTAAGATACGTTTTTCAATAGTTTATTTTAAACCTCGTGTTACAAGATAAGGCTAGCAGCAAGGCTTTGTTCGTGCGTGTGGATTTCCTGTGTTGTACGTGTATGTAATGTGACGCGTGTAACAGAGTACATGTGCGATTAATACAATAAAGATCGCCGGAAGGT